GTACAATCGGTCCCGAAAGTTGTATTTTTCGGACTGTTTTAAATATATTTTATTTTATCGGGTCAAATAAAATATATTATGTGCTCTTACTCATTATGACATGTATAATGAATATACATTCCCCAACTTTAATTTATAAGCCTCCGAAATTCAGTTCGGGCTGTTATCAGTTAAATTACCAGTACTGGTAATTTGGGTTTCTTTTGACCAATCGGTCAACTCCGGGCCTTTCCATGGCCCAAATGAAATATCCACCACTACATATTTATTATCTAGACCATGATGAATAAAATGTATGGTCTCGGGAAAATCGGGCGGCCCCCGCTCCCGGTGTGGGTCCCACGTGCAATTTACTATTCACGCGAAAGAATAAATAAAAGTTTACAACTTCGTAAATTCATAAATCATTCCATAAGGTTTATTACATCATTTACATAAAAGTAAATACATTTGGGGACGGTGTTACACGGGGTTTGTTGGGGCGTCCGATTGACCTGCTCTCTGAGTTCGGTCATTTGTCTTCTCATTTCGGCCATTTCGTCGTTTTGGGCCGTTCGGGGGAATATGTGGTATCCTAGCGTCCACATATTCCGGCATTCTGTTTTGGGGAGGGGCAGCTGTGTTAGCTCTCCTTCGGATGAAGCGTTCCCCATCCCTCTGGATATACTGGAAGTTTTGTCCAACGGGGTCTACCATGGGGGTAGGCTCCCTATATCCGTTCTGAGGTGCGGACGGGGTTCGGCTGGTTGGTGCTCCTCTACGCCTGGGGGTATGGGCCCTCCAGTGGTTCCTGCAGTGTTCCTCGGAATGAACTGAGGCTGTTGTGGTCTCAAAGTCTTCCTCTTCGTCGAATGATGGCATGGGATGTACCGGGGATGGCGGCTCACGAGTTTCATCGGTGTAGCCCTGTTCCTGTTCATCCGCCATGCGTTGCATGGCTTCTGCCATCTCCCTCATCAACTGGGGGTTCATCCTTACATCCCGGGGGATGATTTGCTCGAACTCTTGGGTGGCACTGCCACTAGCGTGTCCCTGCATGGACCCCCCTTCAGAGGATCTATTGCCCCCTCGGCCCCTGGATGTAGAACTCGGTGTCGCGGTAGTAAGTCTAGCCATTTCAAGAAAAAATGGTGCTCAGATCAACGGTTTTGCCTGGACTTTTAGTGAAGTTTCCCACAGACGGCGCCAATGTTGAGGTTTGTTCCCGAAGATCCGAAAGCCCAACACAAGCTTTGGATATTGTAGGGATATTGGATTGGACTGAAAAGTGTATAAAATATAAAACAGTGATATATTATTCAACTCAGGAGCTTACTGGTATTCAATGATTAGGCAATTACACCGGAAACTACCCGAACGGTAGATGATAATGAGAATACAAGGATAGGAGATATAAATCTATTGCTAAGCTCTGAGTATTAAAATGCTAACCCTTTACAATGATCTAAACATGGGTATTTATACTAAAATGGGGATGGGTAAGGTGGACACGTGGCCGAATCTGGTAGGCTGTCACCTCTGCCATGTAAGCACTCATGCCCCCACTTGCAGCCGCCATGATCCATCATTGAATGCGGCCTCCACTTGCTGACCGCCCGTTCGAGCAAGGTGTTCGGTGTGTGGGACCCCGCAATAGGTGTTATCTTGTAATGGAAGTGTCCCGAACGCCAATCGGTATCTGACCCTTGTTACTTTGGCATAATTGTTTCCCGGAATGTTCCAAGTATAAGTTCTATCCCGAATGCTGTTCGGGAATTCTTTGGACTGCCTTGGGCCCGCTGCTTCTTTCCGGATTCGGGCCTAGGGATATTGGGCCTGGACCTAATATCCCAACATAGTCTGATTTTGATCCGTTTAAGTTAGAATAAGTTTAGTCTAGTGTGATGTGTTCGAGGGTTGATGTATGTGTATTTCTATTGTCTAAATCTAATCTGACTTGGTATCAATCACCTCATATGAGCCTTTTGTCTACTCCTCTCCATAAATACTTTGCCATAGTTGATTGGTATAAGAAATAAAGAAAGTTTTTTTTGTTGTTTAAATGGAAAAGGCCCAATTTCACAAAATGGAAGGGAAACAAAGTACTTTGCCATGGAATTCTGTTCTCCAGAATATTTGGATTTTATCCAAATCAATCAGAATCCTATTTGGATTTAAATTCTTTCTTTTATAAATTTTTTGAGGATAATATGAGAGTTAAAACAGTGTAAAACTAAGTATTCACATTTTAAAATTATATATATTAAAAATCTTCTTAAAAATAAAATTGAATACTTTTTAACAACATGATAAAGAATTAGAGGAGATCTATTAATCGGGATTATTTTGAGGTCAAACGGAGATTGTTATCATCAGCGATGGAATAAAAAGAAAACCAACCTAAATTGCAGGGACAAAAAACATAAAAATAATTTTGCAGAGATGTAAAACAAAATGTACTATATTTGCAGACACTAAAAACATACTCCATCTGTCACCCAAACGAGTTCCTCATTGCTTTTCACACATATTAACGAAGTAAATTTACTATAGGGTAAATTTTATTGTTTGACACTGTTTGGACACTATTTGGCATTGTTTGACACTATTTTGATGTAGATAATTTGCCAAATAAATAAAATGAGACTTAATTCAAGGACTGTCCAAAAAGAAAATGGGGAACTTGTTTGGTGGACGGAGGGGGTATTTAAACCTTCTAAAAACACCCTTGGTTTATTAACCACAAATGGCTCAAATTGGTGGACAGATTTATGGATCTATAACAAATCCGATTCTTGTTATACACACTTTACTATTTACACACTGCATGCATGTAAAGACTTTTCTTGTCTGTCACAAACGTGTTTTGTCTAAGACAAATAAAACAAGTTTATGTCTATGAGAGAACAATGCCTTCACATGGAGAATGTATAAATGTGTAAACGGTATAAATGTATAGAAAAGGCTTTTTGGTTGCAAATTTTACAAAGTTTTGGTTGTTTTGTGTGCCGTCTGTTATCTCGTGAATCTGGCTCCGACCGAACAAAATTATGACTCCGTACGTAGTGTTTTCTAAATTTCTACATGCGGAGTCAAGGAACCCGGCCTGTCTAAATTTAGCCACGTCAAACTCATTTCATCATTTCATGGGTATTACCATACGCGAAGGAGTTTGCTCCGATAAGATATGCTTTTGGACAGTTCACGCTTGTATCATCAGTCCTTTTGCTTATTTTATATCGGTTTGATTTAGAATCTGGTTATTTCCATTTTGAACTGAATCCTATGTTGCTTAATGATGTTTTCTTTTGGACCGAACTGTTCTGGTTTGATAAACGTCTGGTCTCTGTGTATTTTATAACTAAGAAAGTCTGGTCTGGTCTGGTCTAATCTGGTCTGGGACTGAAAACAATCCAAAAGAAAACATCTTAATAATTGAAATTACATTCTAATTTCTTGGACATAATTATTTTAATTTTTTCTCGTACAGAGAATATATAGTAAATTTTGTCATTCCAGTTTTCAATATTAGTGGGCGAGCTCTTAAATTAAATCCAACGGCTTTGAAAAGAAACACTTTTCAAAATTAAGACAGGGTTGGTGATCCTACTTTTCGGCTTATCATCATTATCAACCGTTTGTTTCATCAAGCACGTAATTTTTTATTTCACGTGCTGAATTGATTAATAATCAAGATAAGTAGGATTGAAGTTACTTTTTTCTAGTTGAATTGGGTGAAGTTACTGTAGGGACAATTTTGGTTATTTTTATATATACTATTTTCTTTATTTTATTAATAAAATATATTTTAAATATAATTTTTTCATGTATTAACAGAATAGTCAAACAATGTAGTCACTTTATCTACAACTTCATAAATTTCAAACTGATTTGGCAATTTTTAGTGTTCTTAAATGAACTCTCAATCATTATTGTAATCTTCTCGTAAAATGACTTATTTATACCACTTTCGTATCCAAAACCAAAAATGATGTTACCTTACTCTCATAATCTCATTGGACCTTGTAGATTTGAAATAAGTATATGTAAAACAAAAAAGGTAAAAATTGTATTGTTATGATTTGTGCAAATGAGATGAATAAACAATGCAACAAAGTATTCCCTCTAGGTCTCTATCTTTTCTTTCCAATCTATTGATTGTCTCATCCAAAATTTGATAATATTTGTGTCATTCTAAATCAGGGGCAGAGCCAGGACGCTGAGCCAGATTGGGACAGTACGAAGAATATTTTTAGAAAAACAATTACATGAAATCTTTTACCTTAAAAATCAAGTCATTTTTTAAATTTGGAGTGAGCCATGGCCTAGGTTGGCCCAGCCTTAGCTCCGCCCATGTTCTGAATCATTTTTACTTTAATTTATTCTTACTTTATCAATTCATTATTGATAACATCAACATATTTTTCTTAATAATTGTATCACCTCTTCATGTCCACCGAGAGAAATAGTACTCCCTCCGTCCCTGAAAATACTTCCAACTTTCCCTTTTTGTCCGTCTCAAAAAGAACTTTACTTTCCTTTTTTAAAATTTGTGATTCACAACATTTTTCTCTTCTCTGCACAACTCTCCACTCCACAATTCTCACTTTCTTAATCCGTGTGTCACTTTATTTTGGAAGTAAATTCAGTGACGGAGGTAGTAATATCTTTGAAAGAAAATGTGACAAAGTTTACATTATACCGAGTAAATAAAAGTGGAAAGTTGACCAAATTCAAAGAGGAAGAAGCTAAGTAAGTGATTCATAAATACTCCGGTTACTCCCTAACGAACGAGTACAAATCAAAGTTGACAATATTTTGTAGTACGTAATTCGCAAGACTTTGAATGGAATAAATATTTTAAAAAGTTAAGTAGCTAGGCTTAATCGACCAAATTTAAAAATGAAAACGTTTCCCCTACAAAATTAACGGAAAAAATGGGTTGCACTGGGTTACAATCCACTGTAACCTTAGTGTAGATTCACCCCTCAATGCAAGTACTGATTTTATCCATCATTTTATATATTTGTCTGATTAATACAAGAATATTAAACAAACAGGGAGTTGGGAGTAGCATATAGCATGTAAGAAGGGGCAAGATGGATATATATTTGTGCAAATTTAATCAAACAAACATCTCCTTCTCGTTCAGCAAGAGCCATTGATCTACAAATTAAATGTTACACATACATATAGTAGTAGTAATATTTAAATAAATAAAAACTAGCCTAGCCATTGGCCACCAATTATATAATTATAATTATAATAACTAATACTTAAAGTACGTAATTAATTAAGGTCTAAAGGATATGGGCGATGCTCATGATGATAATCAATTCGTACCTATGATTAATTAACAGAACAGGGGGCGAATTAATCACATTCCGGCAATACCCACCGGCGTTTGGTGGTGGTGATCTTCATCGTCTTGGTGGTGGTGATCGGAACCAGAGCTGTTCTTCTTGGTGGCGGAATTTTTGTTGTTATGCATCCAAACCTTAAAAACTTGTCTCTTCACACCAACTTCTGCACAGAAAGATTGCAGCTGAGAGTCATCTTCCCTGGGAATTCTCCACCCCAGCTTCTCCGCGAAATCCATCATTTTCTCCTTCTGTCCCGACGAGAACTTCGTCCGAAACCGCTTCTTCGCCACCGCATACGGCGTCTGCGACTGGTACACGTTGAAGTTCATCTCCTCGCTCGAGGAGTCGGTCGCCGTGCTCCCGTAGGCCGCCATTTTCACCGGCGGCGGGGCGGGAAGGGAGCTCGGCGGCGCTGCACCCCACTGAGTACTCCGGTGGTGGTGATGGTGGTTCTGGTTGTGGTGGTGGTGGTTCATCGACGACGGAGATGTCATCATGGACGGAGGCAGCGCGGGCGGCGGCGGGAGCTGAAGCGGGTGGACAATCATGACCCCATCTCCGCCGCCGCGTTCTTTGCGGTGGAAGTTGCGGTGGCAGTTGCAGGCGGCGCATTTCAGGGCCTCCAGAGTCCCCTCCTCGCCGCTGGGCATGAACTCGCCGCAGCCGTCCGTGACGTTCCCGCCGACGCTTGCGGCGTGGTTCTTGAGACATTCCCGGTACCTGCAGGCGGCTCCTCCGACCGCGGCGCTCATCGCCGTCAGCTTCGACTTATACCCTCCGCTGCCGTGCTGCAGATCTTGAGGCTGCGGCGGCGGTGTGTGATCTAACTCTTCAAGTGGATTGTAACCGGCAAGCGACCCTGACATTCTTATCTCCTTATCCTGATTTCCATCAGTGCCACCATTATATTATTAGTAAGTACTCCGTATTATATTATTATAATAATTTCACACTATTTATCACTAAAACTTTATTATTTCATGGCCAAACATGATTAAAAGTACAAACCCTAATCCGTATCCGTACTTTACAGTAAAACCAAAAACAACTTTATTTCTTGTTCTTCGGAATAATAAGTTAAAACCCATCATTTATAAGTAACATAAAATTATAATCAGGCTTAACTTAACATAATATAAGAACAGTTAACAGATCTAGCTAGGAAATTTGTATAACAGTAAAATAATACTGACTAATTAAAACGAAACGCTTTGACCCGTCAACTGGAATAGCTAGCTTTCATATATAAATCTGAAAAGTTTGCTTGAAATTGAGAGAAAGATCTGGACTAGCTGGTCGGCTAGGAAAATAAATTGGTAAAAGAAAAGGAAAATGAAAGCGAGATGGAACAATTCATGGATAATAGCTAGGTAGGTAGCAGCTGTAAAGGGGGAGAAAAGCCAAAAAGACGGGGCCCTGAATTAAGGAGAGCAACTATTTACCTTATAAACAAGATAAGATGGATCAGATTTATGATGATGACGATGATGATGAGTAGTTAGACAGAATCGGTGGCCGGATTATCAGCAGGAGGAGGAGAAGGAGGAGCGCGCCAACCACCGCCTTAATTAGCTAGATGATCTCATCTTCTACCGATCCGCCATTAATGTTAAGCTAAGCGAGGGTTTAATTTAGAGAATTTGTTTTTTCAAGTAAGAAAGATTTCAGGGAAAGTTATAAAAGAAATGCAGCTTAGTGGGTTTGTCATAATAAGGCTGGGATCCAAGAATAGAGAGATTATATAGATATATAGATGTCTTTAAAATCGAATCTAATCTGATTTAATAGCAATAATAATAAGAAAAGTGAGGGGGAGAGGAAGAAGAATAAATTAAAGATGGAAGATGATGATATATGGTGGGTGGGGGTTTACTTTTAGGGGGTAGGGCTATAAAAGAAAAAATAAATGAAAAAGAAAGAAATGTTTGAGAGAAAATAAAAAGGTGTATAGTAGCAAGTGTTTCAGTGCACCAAACAGGAGACAAGTTGGTTGCTTGGGATGGTATCCTATTTCCTGTTTCTCATATCTGGGGCTGGGCTGGCTCATCCAAGAGGTGGGATTTGGAACCATCCATATGATGTTAGACCGGAAACCAACCAACTTATGTGGGCTCCTTGTGGGTCGACCCGAATAACTCGATCCTTTATACCCACTATATTTATTTTATTTTTTGATCAATGATGTAGTGCTACTTTGATCAATTTTTACAAACACTACAATTTAGTGCTACATTTTTATCATATACTTTGTAATTTTTCCATTTTATTAATGAATATATTTAAATTAAAAATAAATAAATTATGAATCAAACTAATTCAGCTATATATTTCAATGACAATTACGAAGTTATAGAAAATCCAATCAAATCAACTTATTCAAGAAGAATTTCATAAATTTGAGAAGATTCAACGGTACATAGTTAACTAATACTACGTATACAATTCCATTAATGGATAAAAGATTTGGAGCCTGCTGCATATCCTTCCTCTCGTCCGTAGTCGCCGTGCAAGCGCCATTGCTTAAAGATGATGAGAGTCAGCGTGCTGAATGATGCTCTTAAGAGCATGTACAATGCTGAAAAGAGGGGCAAGCGACAGGTCATGATTAGGCCTTCCTCAAAAGTCATTATTAAGTTTCTTCTGGTGATGCAAAAGCATGGATACATTGGAGAGTTGAGTATGTAGATGATCACAGATCTGGTAAAATTGTGGTTGAATTGAATGGAAGGTTAAACAAGTGTGGCGTGATTAGTCCTCGTTTTGATGTTGGTGTTAAGGATATTGAGAGTTGGACGACTAGGTTACTTCCATCAAGACAGTTTGGATACATAGTGCTGACTACATCAGCTGGAATCATGGATCACGAGGAAGCCAGAAGAAAGAACGCCGGTGGAAAAGTTCTTGGTTTCTTCTACTAGTATGATTGTTCTAGGCTGGTTGTGTTCGCATGTATCTCTGCCTAACCATTCAGTCTAATGAATTTCTTATGTTTGCTTTAAAAAAAAGAACGATAATAGATTTGGAAAATTAATAGAATATGAATAAAAACAATGTCAACCTCTAAAATAGAAGTATTACTACATGTTTTTCTCTAGATAGGAGTACGTTATTGTCATCCTGATAATTTAATAGCGGAGCATCATGCTCGAGGTTTTAAATAGCGGGCCTCTACGGCTATAGCGGCTGCTATGGGCCACTATACTGGTGTAAATGCGATTCACAACGAAAATCCACTACGTAACAGTCGTGGATCCGCTACGCCGCTGCATCTGACCTCTTAACGCCGCTACCGGCCGCAACGCCATCACACTACCATTGGCAAAGCTTGGTATGGTCGCAACGCCATCACACTTATTAAGCTCTTATGAATCAACTTCTTAATAAGTGTTTCATAAGAGCTACCACTTCAAAATATTTCACCCCACAATGGCCGCAATACACATATCGCAACAGCCACATTAGCCGCTACCACTATGACCGCTACCGTCAGCGCTACCGCTATTTAAAACCCCGATGATGTTTTAGCATTCCTTGATTTTAAACATGCGATATAGTATCATATTTAAGAGTATATATTTTTCATGCTTATTAATTATTCATATTTGTGAAATAAAAACAATGTTCCTATTTACAACTTCAAAATGTTTTTTACTCTTAGTATATGATACGAGTAGTTTATTAGTATTAAAATATAACTATATACATGTTCATTATTGTGTCTATAAAAATAACTGTGTACATGTTCATTATTGTGCCTATGAAAATAGGTCAATAGTTATTTATGTGTAAAATTAGACATCTATTTGGCTTTTAAAAACCACACACTTTCATTCATTATTTTTAAAAACTAGATATGTCTCTGTTTGCGCTTCTTTGTTATGAAGCAGCAGTCAATCCATGCAATTTTGAACGCGATTTTCACTATGAGTCATCTAGAAACAGCCATTTTATGCTGTTTTATGCTGTAGTACAGGGGTAAAACTGCGTACATCCGATCCCTTCTTAACTCACCGTAGGTGAGAGCCTTCGCGGCATGGGGTAAATGAAAATGAAATGAAGATGTCTGTTGCTATGTATTTCCATATCTAAATACCTTATCACAATAGTAGTACGGAGTACTATTACAGTATTACGGTTCTTTAGGCTACTAGATAGACCCTAGATTTGTGTATTTGACTGTAATTATTATCGTAAACGATTAATTGTAACTATTATTAATAGTTGAAAGTAGTTGAGGTAGGATCCGCGGACTAAATAAATGAATCACGAGATTACACGAGTGGTGTTCCGCTTAACTGGTTAAGGTTGTCCGGGACCACCTTAACGGCTAAACCCCGTTCTTCCGATGTAATAATCATGTTTAGTAATAACAACCACGAACTAAAAGGTATTTGCAACAGTTAATGATAAAAAGGGGTAATGAGAAAAGGTAAGGGAACAACCGACAAGGTCATGTTCAGTCCTCTCCCACGCCCTGCAAGCACTTACCCAGCCAGCCCATTGGAGGGCATGGGGCCCACCGCCATTTCTACATCTTCATTATTGCGCTTTTTTCCTCTGCTAATTAACTCCCTCTCTCTCTCTACTGTCATTACTTATTTCTGTAATTTCATTTCGTTGCCTCCTATCCTCTCCCCGTGTCTGTCAGTTCAGCCCTCCATTTTTACGCAAACACTGATTCTGCCTGCCTGGAGATTTGACCCCGCCCTTCCCCACTCTTTTTTTATTCCCTTTCGCTAGCTAACTTCAAGTTTACCCTACCGTAACTGGTACACTTTCTTTTTTACCAAATCACTGATTACCACCGTGGCGAAGTACAATTATTACCTACGTGAATGCGTGAAAGAAATGTTGGAACGGGGGAAGAAAATTCAAATGCCCCCTCGGGTGTGGAAGCGATTCGCAGTCCATGTAATCACAGTGACTCTATGAGAAAAGTGGCCGTAAGTCCATATATTCGTGCGCGTCAGAGGTTCAGCCCATTTCAAAACTTCAAATGGTCATTACGGAATTCGAACATTGATCATTGATTCAAATTTTTCATCATTCAACCAACTGAGCAATGTCCATTTTTCTCGATCAATACAATTAGGAAGTGATTCGCAATCCATTTTCAATTCCTGCAATGTCCATTTTTCTCGATCAATACAATTAGGTGTAATTTATTTCTTTTTTTGGATGAACTGTAAATATATATTAACACCCAAACAAAAATAACATGTACAATGTGTCCAAAAATCTAAAGCTCCCACCCCCTCCTATTTCGTGTGAAAAGGAGAGAGTTAGGGTTTTTTTTAATCTATTCTAAAATCAAGATAGCCAAAACATACTGCCCAAAAAGTCTAAGTCTATGACCGGTGCTGCAAGGTGCACACACTCGAATACAAACTGTCTAATGCTGTGACATTCAAAAAAAATCAAGGTGTAGTTTATTTCTTCAGGATATTGATTGTTACTCCATCCGGTTTTTAATAAACTTCACACTTTCCTTTTTGGGACGGTCTAAAATAAACTTCACACTTCCTTATTTCCTTTTTTGGCAAAGAAATCTACATCATAACAGTGTCAAACAGTGTCTCAACAGTGCCAAACAGTGTCTCTACAGTGCCAAATAGTATCAAACAGTGCCTCAACAGTGTACTCTACAGTAAAGTCAAATTTATTTCCTTATTTTGTGTGAAGTCAAACTGTGAAGATTAAAAAAAACCGGAGGTAGTATATTTTAATTTGGATTTTTGCCTTTGTAGTTTGTAGAGCTTTAATGCTGAGTATAATTTTTAAATACGTAAATTTTAATATCGAGTAAGAAAAATTGATCTGATTATATGCTATGAAGTGTTAACTTTATCGTCGATCAAGTTTGAAAAATGAACGAATTTTAAAGAATTTTTTTTAATATAATGCATCATCATTTGGGCTCACCACGCAATCTCATTTAACTATTTCGACTGAGCACACAATCCATTTAACTTCGGATTGGATATATCATAACTTTATGGTGTTTAATCATTTTAGTTATTTTCATATAGAATATAACTTCTTCATTATTTTACTAATAAAATATATTTCAAATAAAGTATAATTTTTCTATAATTCAATAGATTAGTTAATTCATTAGTTGTTTTATCTTGAATTTCATCAATTTCAATAGATTTAATCGATTGAGTCGATATCAGTGTGATGATCATATTTATTGGTTTTTGAGAAATTAATTTCAACCGGACTTCTATCTCATCTTTTCCATGTCATGAAATATTTTCAAATATTTCTCTTTCATTTGTAGAAATATTAATCACACAATTTTAACTTTAATATTTTAGTGCAAGTCAAATTTGATCTAATTTTGTTTGGCGGATAAAATATTTCATTATTATATTGGTCCAATTTCATCAATTAAGATTAAGTGGATATCATAAATGGACTATGGGTCTAACAGATGAGGTATACAACTATTAAGTGGTCCAAATTGAAATTAGTTTTTAATATCCACAATGTTACATTTTTATCTCAATTAGTGAACCAAACAATATAAAACACTTCTTTTGATATTCATGATAAGATGACGTGAGATGCTAATTCAGGTGACGTGAGATTCTAATTCATGTGGTTGAACTGGGTATTAAAAAAGATGACACTCCATCGTGAGGACCTCTCGACACCGATCGAACAGTTGGAATTTAATTACAAACTGCAGATAGAGATTGAAGTTCTGACTCTAATGACCTTATGCATTTTTACTACCCCATCTCTGAAGTTGTTATTAGGAACTACTTTAAGTCGCTAGTTCAAAGCTAGTTCAAATTTAGTTCTACTTTAGATGGGATTATTAAAGCTAATAATTTTAGTAAATTTTCTAGTTTTGATATTATAATAAAAGTTCGTTTTTATAATACATATACGTGATACGTAGTAGTGTATAGCATGAGATGAAAATAGTACGGAGTAATAATATTTTAGAGATTTTGATATAAAAAATCGTTTCCAAATTACCCTTATTTTTCTTTTCTTTGATTTTTAAATTTAATAAAATGAGAAAAATTATTTTAGGCATCCAAACATAAAATGAAGTCGCTGACTTTTTACCAACAAAAAAAAAAATCGCTGATAGAGTAGACGTGCATACACTCTACAAAAATAGTTCCTCTATGAATACTAAATTACTAAGGGAAAACTGTCAAATAGGTCCTCGAACTTTCATAAAAAAGTCAATTAAGTCCTTCTATAGGAGGTTCTGTCCGGCCGTCGCGATTTGGTGCAGTTCCCGGTGGAATTTTTTGATGAAATTTTTTGAGCATCTTATTCACCAAGTCTAGTTTACTCATACCAAATTTCAGCTAAAAATTCAATTGGGAACACATTCAAATTAATTCTTGAAGATAACTACGCATTTTTGCGTTCTCGAATTAATTTGAATGCGCTCCCGATTAAATTTTTAGCTGAAATTTGGTATGAGTAAACTAGACATGGTGAATAAGATGCTCAAAAAATTTCATCAAAAAAATCCACCGGGAACTGTCCCAAATCGCGATGACCGGACAGAGTCTCCTATAGAAGGACTTAATTGACTTTTTTATGAAAGTTCGAGGACCTATTTGACAGTTTTCCCAATTACTAATAGTGAAACGCTGAAACCAAGACCAAATTTTCGTAGTCTTTGACTAAAGTCACCTGTTTATACAGGGCAGTGAATACGAGTTTAGTCATCAAACATTCAAGGGAAAAGGACCAAATAGGACATTGAAGTTTTTAATGAAGTGCATATTGGACATCAAGGTTTTTATTAGATCAAATTAACACAAAATTTAAGTTTTAAGTCCTTATCACCCACCCTCTAACATTTCCCGTTAAACGTTCTCTTCCCCGTTATCATCCCCTGCTCTTGAGATTAGAAAATCACAAATTCAGATTTCTAACCCTAACTCAAATCCATGGCGTGTAAGAGTGAGATTGTGCGAGTGAGTTGAGAAGATTAGAAGGTATTCAACAGCAGTAACAAGGTTAGGAGACGTACGCCTGGTCTCAGGTAATCTTTCAGGGTTGTTTTTATTCGATACAATGAATGGGTTGGTTAATCTCAGATTCAACCATAGCGGGATGTGGGTTCTGAAGCCGAGATTACAGTATGTGAATGGGGACGTCGATACAGTTTATGGTTTTGACCCTGATTATATGTGTTATCATGACATTTCAAGAAAGTACAAGGATGATTTGGGGTTTAAAACACTGAAAAATATATATGTTTTAGAACCTGGAAAGGATTTGGACAATGGGCTTTTCTTAGTTCAAGATGATGACACTATTAGGAAGGTGTTAAATCGTATTAGGAGATTTTCTTGGATTGATACTATTGAACTATATGCTGACCATCAACTGGACGAACCCATTTTGATTCCCCTTATAGAAGGTTCAATTTCTGAAATCGGTAACCATGGGAATGGTGATGAGAATGATGGTGGGCAGGGTTATGAGTCTGCCAATACAGATGTGAGAGACCAAAGTGCTGAAGTGAACACAAGTGGTGTCCCAAATGGGTATGTTACAGATGAAGAATCAAATAGAGGTTCAAAAGATGACGAGAGCGAAAATTCTGATCCATCCTCCGATAATGATGGTACAATGATTTACTCTGCAACAGATGGGTCGGAATATTTTATGAATGGGATGACCTTTGCAGATGCTGAAGAGGCCAGGACTGCAATTGCTAATTATGGGGTTAAAAATGGTTACAAGCTAAAAATCAAACCGAATGAGAAAAATAGACTGGCCGTTAAGTGTTTGAATGAGGAAGGCTGCCCATTTAGATTATGGATTTCTCAAGATGGAAAGAACTGTGGGCTGGCAGTGAAGATTTGTAAGACTGAACACAAGTGTTTCCGACACTATTCTATTCCTAGTGCTACTCAGAAGTGGCTAGCGAATTATTTCAAAGGGCACTTGGAGAGAAATCCTAACTTTCGGGTTGCTGACATGAAAGAGGAAGCTGAGAAAAAGTTGAAGATAAATGTTAGCTTGTCTAAATGTAAAAGGGCTAAAAGGTTGATTATTCAAGAAATGGATGGGAGTTATAAGGCTGAGTTTGGATACCTAGAAGCATATGCTGCCACATTAAAGAGGAGTAATCCAGGTTCAAAAGCTGAAATAGAACTCTGCAATGAAGCATTGAAAGAAGGGAAGAGAGTCTTTAAGAGAATGTTTATATGTTTTGCTGCTTTGAGGAAGAACTGATTGGCTGGCTGTAGACGGATCATTGGTGTGGACGGTTGCTTTCTAAAGGGTGTTTGTAAGGGTAATTTGTTGAGTGCAGTTGGGGTGGATGGAAATGGGCAGATGGTCCCTATAGCATGGGCTATAATTGACAAAGAAAATAAGTCCAATTGGAGATGGTTTTTGAGTTGGCTTGTTCAGGAACTAGATCTGAATACTGGTGCTCAGTTAACACTTATTTCTGATATGCAAAAAGGGTTAATTGGTGCTGCTCAAGAAGTCATACCAGATGCAGAGCATAGGTTCTGTGCCCGACATGTGTATGCTAATTGGTCAAAAAAATGGAGAGGCAATGAGTTCTGCAAAAACTTTTGGGTATGTTCCTGGAGCACATATGAAGAAGAGCTACAAATCAATCTGAAAAAGCTTGGAAAGTTGAGCACTGAAGCTGCCTCTGACCTTTTAAGTATCCAGTTCACACTTGGTGTAGAGCATACTTTAGTAATAGAAGTTCATGTTGGATGGTTGATAATAACATCACAGAGTCCTTCAATTCATGGATCCGGGAAGCAAGGTCAAAACCTATTGTATCCATGCTGGAAGATATACGTTTGAAGGCGATGAAAAGAGTTTCAAATTTTAAGACAAATCATGATAAATGGATAAACGATTGGTCTCCTTTATGCATGGAGTACTATCAAGACAATAAAGAGGCTGCTAGTGGTTGTAATATTATTTTTAATGGGGATGTGGGGTTTGAGATTGGAGAGGGGACAGATAAGCACACTGTTGTGTTGGATAAGATGGTGTGCACTTGCAGAGCATGGGAACTCACTAGAATACCATGCTTACATGCCATATGCGCTTTGTATTACAGAAAGGCTCATCCGATCACATACATTTCAAGATGGTATCATAAGGAGACTTACATGGCAGCATATGCAAATTCTTTGCAACCTGTACCGGGAAAAGCTTTCATGAAAATTGATGATTATGAACCTATTTTACCTCCCCCAGTGCCAAACTTACCTGGCAGGCCGAAGAAGAATAGGGTTAGATCATCTACTGAGGTCAAAGGATCTGCAGGAGCTTCAAAATCTGCCAGTGGTACACCTAAGACATCATCAAGAAAAGGGAGTGATGGATAGTCTACCCGGGGGGTATCTTATCCGAGGGGTTATTGCGGGAATAACTAGAGAGAAGTCAGAGCAAAATAGGAGGAGAGAGAGTCGATTTATTAAATGAACTCAGCGTGTGGAGTTGAGATGTAGATGATGTTTTACAAGGAGAAATGGGCTGCTATTTATAGCAGCAATAAATGCGATGAGAGGACACGTGTCAGTAATCCAACGGCCGAAGGGTCACATCAACCGGTTGGCACCGGCAGTGGTACGTTCACCGCATTAAATGCGGTTGGCGGATGCGACGTGGCTTTAAATGCGGTGGTTGGCTGTCTCCAAAAGGAATCTTCGATGATTGAGAGTGTTTGGCCGAAGGCACCTTGTATCGCCGAGGGCTCCATGTAGCCAAGGATCCCTGTGTAGCCGAAGGCCCTGTGTGACCGGAGGCATGGTTTAGCCGGGGGCTTCTCTGATGCCGAGGGCATGGTTTAGCCGAAGGCTCACATTTTTCGCCGTTTTCTCCCAGTAGCCTCTTATGCCAGAGAAGGCTATCCTGTGAGATTTAGAGCCTTCGGCCCAGGAGGCCGAAGGCACTCCAGTGCGCGTTCTGGGCTATGTTGAGACTTGGGCCGCTGCATTTTGGGCCCGGGTTGTTCCCTGGGCCCAATAAACTTGTGTAGGAGAAGTAGGAGTCTATGGGCCGGGGGTTCCTGGGCCATATACTCCATCAGGGAGATTGCAAACGTGTGGGATATGCCATCAGGAAGGCCATAAGAGAGCTACCTGTCCTAATAAAGATAGAAATGTAAGTAGTCAAGCTCTTTGAAGTTGTAGACTGCAATATTTATTTATTGTGCTTTCATGAGTTCTTAATGTTTTTATTAGGCAAGTGTTGAAGAACCAGAAGGTACTGCACCTATACCTGTGAAGAGACCTGCTAGTGTTGCATTTTCATCAATTCCTACCACTACAGAATCACATCCATCAACAAATCCACACACTAAGGCTAAAAGGGCTACTGGCAAGTCTAAAGTGACAAGTAGAAGAATAGCAAGGAATATAAGTAAACAATCTGTGACAGGCTTTGGGTGCTATGTTGATGTAAACACTGGTCAGAAGATTATAAATGTGAGTATAATAGGTTTTTATGTAACTGCTTTAGTTTTTTATGTATTCAAATATGTTTTCTTATTTCTAACTTCACCTTCGTATACTTGTTGATGCTTGTAGCCTGGGATGAGTAGTGAGGAAATAGTTTCTGATTTCCAGCCTCAAATGCCACATGACCCTGATGTTACAGTCAGATTTGCAATTCCAAATGAAAAAGAAACCAGAGAGGCTGCTCGAGCTGAGAAGCAGTTGGATGTCCCAACATATAGAACAATACCTTTCAAGGGTGATGGTACACAGGTGCAAAGTCCAGCAAACCTTCCTTTTAAACCACCTGGTTTGCAATGGAATGGGAATGAAGCAATCACCTCTAGACAGTTGTTACAAAAGATGCAGATCAGGAGGCCGGGTTCCATTGCAAAGTGAACATATTGAAGACTCATATGTTTAATTAGAACACTTTGGGGCAGTTTGTATGTATAACTTAAGCTGTCATTTTTTGTATATGCTCACTGGCAGCATTTTTTGTATGAAGTTTTACTACTTCTGGCACTATAAACAACATTTGTGCTTTTTTGGGCTGCTAGTTTAGGGGTTATACTGGCTTTTTTAATTTTGTAACCTCATTAACAATGAGTATTTCACCTCCAATGCTATGAATTTATGATATATGTTCTTAAATATTAGCAAGATTACTCTGTTTTGTTTATAAATGGCATGTCATGGTTTATTCATGTATTCAGTTCATGTATAAATGGCATAATTACATCGTTTATTCATGTATTACTCTGTAATAAGTTCATGTATGGTTTATAAGATATTTTATTTCATGTATTATGGTATATATGTTGCTGAATGTTCTCTTTGCAGCAAGACATGGGATCTGCCTAAGTGTTGTTAATATTTATTATTGCTTATTTTATAGTATTTGATATCAGTAGTAATCCATTGCCTAAGTGTTCAGTTATTATATCATTTATAAGTATTCTAAATCTGGAGCCATGTGTAGCCATTAAGGCCTTATTGACAGTGATGATTCCAATCAGTTTCAATGATATTACTGCATACTTATTTGCATTTTTCTTTGGAAGAACTCCTATGATCGAGTTTTCCCTTAATTAAACATGGGAAGGTTTTATTGGAGCATCTGTAACTATTATTATCTTTGCAATTTTGCTTGTTCGGCTATTTTCAGTGGATGACAGTCCAGGGTAGGACTTATCAAAGGGTTGGCTTACTTTTGGTTCTGGCCCTTTCTTCAAACCATACTATGCCACTCTAGCCAAGTGGATCCCTCAATGGTTTCTTCCAAGACAGATTTTGGCAATGCCAGTACAGTGGCATACATTAGTTTTTGACCTATTTGCATCAATACTTGCTCCTTTTGGACCCTTGTTTGCAAGTGAATTTAAAAGGGCCTTCAAACTCAAGGACTTCAGAAATAGTATCCCTGGGCATGGAGGTTTGACATATAGGATGGATTTCATTGCCAGATGGTGATAAACACACATGCATTTTATTTATACTCAAACAACCATGTGGACTCTCTTTTACTCATTTGATATTTTCTTATTAATACTCAAACTCACTAACAACAATTCAAATTGAGAACCAATGCATAACTTGTAAACTGTTTACAAGGTTATAACCAGACCATTTTACAAGGAACTGAAACTAACATACAAACACACACAAAAGTACAATAAGAACACACAACACTACAACAACACAATTCTTCTTCATTTTGGCTTTTCTTTCCAATTCCAGATGGGGTGCATCCTTCCTACTGTTAACTTCTTCAACTTCACTCTCCAACTTTTGAGCAACACTATCACATTCCAGTTCAAACATTACAGATTGCAGTCTCCTATTCTCCCGTTTTAGCTCATTGATAACATGCCTTGCTCTGTCAGTTAATGGCTCATCATGCCATTCAAAGAAGCCACATCCATCCTTCTGGGTATACATCAAACACAAGAAGATGAATATAAATAGAATATACATATTCATGGTCTTCTCCAGTTCTCATAATTGAAAAGAATAATTAAAAGAATACCTCATAATAAGGACATCCATGAAATCGTCTCCCTGGATTCTTCTCAGTCCATGAAGTCCAAAGTGGCGCTTTGACTCGACTTCCATTTGCATTCAAGCATCTGCAAAACCTTGAACGCCCAGGATTCTGTCGCTCATAGATGCTTCGAAGCTTCACTGAATCAGCGGACTCAGATTTGCGTGCCTCAAATGACCTCGATGACCTCGATGCTGAAGGAGTCTCCTGCATCACTGGTTTCTTCTTTGTAATCTGGTTGGGATTGTATTTATTAGGTATAAATCAATTAGGGTTGTTGGATATTGGGATTGCATTTATTGGGAGTTTCTAATCTCATGGAGCCGGAGGATAACGGGGAAGAGAAGCTTTTAACGGGAAATGTTAGAGGGTGGCGGATAAGGTCTCAAAACTTTACTTTTGTGTTAATTTGATCTAATAAAAACCTTGATGTCCAATATGCACTTCATTAAAAACCTCAGTGTCCATTTTGGCCCTTTTCCTTCCCAACATTCAAACTAATAAATCTCCTATGATGAATATCATTGTCGGGAGTGCGTTTTCTGAATTGCAAGTATTAGGTTGTAGAAATTAGAAAACCAGAAATATGTTTGATGATGAACTTGGTCAACATACAGTTCCTTCGTTGTCTAAGCATGACGACACACTGAATTGAAAAAGTCAAACACTAAAAAGATCCACATAGAGCAGTACTCAAAATCTCTAGCGATGTGGAATGAGTAGGAGGACTGAGTAGGAGGACTAAGGGAGCTTTTGCAACAAACTTAAAAAAAAAACATTTCTCATCTTTTGGTTTAAAAAAGCACTTATTTCTCATCTTTTGGTTTAAAAAAGCACTTATTTACCAAACACTACCAATTTTTACTTTTTCTCGGCTTGCGTGTGAAAAGTGTTTTTCCCTTTTCTATTACACAAAAGGCACTTATTTTACCAAACACTACCAATTTTTACTTTTCAAAATCACTTTTTTCTCAAACACTACCAACTTTTACTATTAATCACTTTTTCCTTATATCTCCAAAAGTGTTTTTTTTAAATAGAAGCAGTTGCAAACACTCCCTAAAGCTAACACCAACCCACTCCGTTAATAAATTATATTTTCCACGTATTTATTTAGTTAATAAAGTTTTTTCATTTAAACCTGTGTTATACTCCGTATTATTTTACTTCATTTTTCTCAGATTCTTTTTTTTGCTCATAGTTGTGATTTAAAAAGTCAAATATAATGATGTAAAAATAAATAAATTTGGTGATTAGTCTCTCTGTATCAGTATAAGAGTCTCGATAGCCTTTTAACATAGTCAAGGTGTTTTATAAGGTATTGTAGATACAGAAAAATGCATTGTAGCTAATAAAGATAAATACAATGTAGCAGAGAGAGAGAGAGAGAGAGAGAGAGAGAGAGAGAGAGAGAGAGAGAGAGAGAGAGCTGGGTGGGCTAAACACTCGCAATCAAACAAAAAAATGGCAAAAAGGTGGTGCCACTTTAAAACTTTGATGTGAAACCGCCTCCACAATTTAGGTTTCTATAAATAGAAACATTTGCATTCCAAATTCAAAGGTCATGACTCAAAATAAGCTTTCATCATTTATGGTGGGGTTGGATACCTCTCAATTCAACGAGGGTGGGGGTGGGGGTGGGGGTGGGACAACGCTACGAACAAGTTTCATCATCGCGGGTGGGGTGAGGGCAAGCTCCTCTCAGAATAACCTTCATCATCGAGGTTTTGGGTGAGGTGCGGCCGGAGTCCTCTCAGAATAAGCTTCATCATCGAGGTTGGAGTGGGGTGGGACTCCTCTCAGAATAACCTTCAACATCGATTTGGTTGCTATGTCGGAACAGTGATCCGGTTGCTACGTCCAAGCCTTTCAAGACCAGTTCTGTGCAAGCCTTCCAAGACCAATGTAGTGCCATGGTGTTATAGGGTGAAGCAGAAACCTCACCAAGCAACTAACCAAGAGAGGGCACAAGTACTAGACTTTCTCCTCCAAAGGACAGTGGATGGCAAAGTTAGGCGATGTGGCTTCACAGGAACTGCAACTTCCTTTTGCATTAATCGCCGAAGTGTTTACAAAATATGGAAGACATCACAAGACTGCAGGGCTAAAGGAGAACCAATCAATAGTGACTTGTAGAAGAAAGGAAGGAGTGGAAGGAAGAAGATCAATATAGACATGTCTATATTGTCAAGCCTTCCCCGTCATCAAAGGAGTTCAATCAGAAGCACTGCAATAACAATGGGAGTCCCTGCTCAACTATACAACATTAGTTAAAAGAGGAGACATTAACTAAAATGTTTGCCCCAAAACTGCCCCATTATCCATTCGGGTAATTTTATTTGAATTGTACCCGCCCCAATGGGAAATCGGTTTATCCACGGGTGACCGTTTGCCCAAATGATACCAAATAGCCATTTTTTAACCATAGTTGTTCATGTAAACATCCTTCGTAGTAAATTATAGAATTGATTTCACTTTTGGTCCTATGAGTTTTGTGTCAATTCCACCTTTAGTCCACGACTTTCACTTTGTCCACTTTTGATACTTGACTAATGTTTTTTAACCGTTTGTGGTCCTTTTTCGGCAATTTTAACCATCAGAAACAATGCCGGAAGGACCATATATGGGCCAAAACACAATAGTCATGTATCAAAAGTAGACAACGCGAAAGATGTGGACTAAATGTGGAATTGACCTAAAACTCGTAGGACCAAAAGTGGAAATTGTTCTAAATTACATATTATCTATTCAAAGCACCATAAAACATACTAAGCATTCAAGCACCCAATATCTCTTGTAACATAATAACAAAGTAGTAATCATCCCAGAATCTAAATTCAAAAAACATTTTTAGTCCTAAAGAGTAGTATTCCTTTACACACAAAAAAAAAGGTTTAGGCCTAAATTCATTACACCATCAAATTAACGTTAAACACTTCAACATCCAGAATGTCACGCCCCGGACCTCTCCGGACACGTCAACAACCCGCCGTACAATACGAATAGTCAACTGCAGTTCAACACATTCATATCATACAAAGCGTCTTGAATATCATTCACACATATAACATCCATAAACAAACATAATAAGTAATTCATAACGCAGCGGAAAACATTGTTTAAAACAAAGGGGCCACACAGGGCTATTCATGAGCACGCAGGCTCTATAGTAAAATATCCATGAGCAAATTTATTAATGTTTCAAATAGAACGGAGGAAGCACGAACCAAGTCTTCTCTCTGAGGAATCACTCGATCAACGAGCACAGGATGCAAGCTCTAGCCTCAACCTGAAATGGTGGTGGGACGCCCCCGAAGGGGTCAGTACTCTATACGGCTATAAAGTACTGGTGTGGCAGGCATCTAATAGATATACAACAAGCATTTCAAACACAAGACCCTCAAATAGGGTGATAGTACATTATGATTTGTAACCCTAAGT